GAGAAAACAATACGTGCTGAGAACATGTCACTTGTGAGTCAAAGTATGAGATCGCCCCACTTCGTGCACGATTTTCGCCCGAGTCTTCAATTGTCGGAACATTGTCGTTCTACCAACTTAAAAGCTTGTATTTCAAAAACGGTAAATGTGATTTAAGAATTCTTTCTATCCCGGAATTTGCTTGTCACAACAACTACGTTTTAGCCAAACTTAATTTTTGCGTGTCAGTTCTCTTTAAGGCAGGCATTAAAGGGAACTGAAGTTGAAAAATGAAATCAATTATCTAGGTAGGTTTTCATCGTGCTGATTTCGATATCGACACGAATGTAGTGTTTTCCTTGTTCGTTTTCCTGCATTCACCAGCGAAGATGTGAAATGTTTCTCCATTTCGGTGCGGGAGAGGTTCTTGGAGACAAGTTTCAGGCGCTGACGAATAGTCGTGGAACCGTGCCGATCGCAAGAAACAACATTGTTAGTAGGTTAGTAGAGTGAATCCGGAGGAGGGAATTCGGTTAGTGGTTAGAATTTCGTTCGCAATTTTCACGGACAGGCTTTTCAGGAATGACAACGACTAAGATCGAGCGGACGATGAATTGGAGCATGAGTGGTGAAGTAACTTGCCCTACCAAGGAGCGAACGGGAACTGGAAAGTGGCGAATGAGATTAGTCTAGGCGCCGATGAGATCCCAGAGGTGAGGTATGAATTATCTCCGAGCACGTGCTGCTCGTTTTGTCGGTTAAAATGAAGGAAACGTAAATCAATCGGTACGTGACTCTTTGTTTCTTTGTCTGACAATGAAAGGCAAGAATAAACTCAAACACATTTCCTTAACTATTCCTTATAAAAAGTAGATACAACTGAGATGTAGCTTACATATTATAATCTTATTTCCATTTCTAAAATCTGAATAAAAGGATTATAATTGTTACAATTTAATATATTTCCTTTGATATAAAAGTATTAATAATAGTTTGATGTGTAGGCACGGAACAGGTCGACTATCACTTTGTTTTAAAACTGGCTTGTTTTTTGTACATTGACAAGTATTATTAAATCTTACATGCAATTAAGATTTTTTGGACTGATAATTCGAAAATGTAAATATTTAATAGAATTGGCATAAATATGCTAAAATAGATTGATAGCTAAAATTATATCATGTTGCTAGGTTATTACAAACATGGCCGATCACATGGATGGTTATTGCTGGTTGGATGGTGTGCGGAATAAACTGGACAATTTTAGTATGATTTATAGCAAAATGTAAGAAAAGAACTTAGTCAAAGAAGACAAGAGGTTTCAAAATTCTGCAGAGAGACAATGGAAAATAGCACAAACTCAGAACTACCTCTACAATATACAGATGGAGTACAAGGGTTATTATACAGGGTTATTCAAGGGACATAGACTTTCAGTTCATAATAGAGAAGAGAAATTTAGAACAGTTGGGGTCGTGTTATAAGTTAAGAAATTTGTGAATAAATAGTAGGAAGATTTTGAGCAAGGGCTTGATTTTTAAATCATGAAGGTATAGATTTTTCAAGATACTTTTTGACTCATGCACAAAATGTGATAATAGTTGAAGATTTGATAAAGTGTTTTTCTCTCTTACAAAATGTCCTGTACCTTGGTACTTTTCTATACATAATCAAAAAAATGTTTTACTTCACAGTCAATTGTTCTTTTTAATGTATTGTGTCACTGCCATGTCTGTAGGATAGCACTAGTTTTCAAATTTTGAGGAAATGAGTTTTTTGGTGCCCAATGGTATATTTTTCTGAATATTTGCTTCAACAGTGTCAACATTTTCATAGAACA